TCAGAAAAATCAGGAATAAGAAACCAGAAACCCAAAGAAGAAAACCAAAACCAAAAAAGGACCAAAAACTATGCTTTCGCTTTTCGGGAAGCACGGTTGTGATTCTCGCTGAATCACATGTCGTGATTCCCCTTTTCCGGGAAGCACAACTGTGTTTTTCCTTTTCGGGAGCAAAATTATGCTTCTTGCGGAAGCATAGGTTGTACTTTCCTTTTTTTTATGGGAAGCACAACTGTGTTTTTCATTTAGGGGAAGCATAGTTTTGCTTTTCCCTTTTTCGACTCGGAAGAAGTACATGTTATGCATTTCCTTTTTTGGGACAAGCACAACTGTACTTCTCACTTTGCTTCTTGCGAAAAAGCACTACTTTCAAAAAATAATAATATTTTTCTATCAAAACCTATGAAAAACCAAAAATAAAATAAACACCCCACCCCCTAAAAAACTAAGAAATGCTTGAAAACACGTGTATAAATGAAATCATGACGTTACGCCGAGTGCGTGACACATGGTGATGGCTGGGCGCATCATTTGTCGTGCTCACAGATCCAAGAAAGTGACCTTTGCAGAAGCCCTCCGAGGGATACCCCTTAATTAGGTGCTCTCCTCACATAGCTTAGCAGTTTTAATGGGACAAACATACGCTAGCTGTCATCTAAGAAAAAAAAAACATATACTAGCTCTCTTTGGCTAGCTGATTTTTTCTGCAAGTGGCCCTCACTATATGTTCTACTGGGTAATATACTCTTCTTATCCTTATCTAAAGAACGGAATATGCCTAATCAAGTTGCGTTGGTTTGTAAAGACGTGAAGAGAAAACAATAGGTTTGCAAACAATAAAAACAGAAAACAGAACTGGGTTTGGAACTCTTTTTTTAGGGGCTGGAACTCTTGTGTTCGTTGCTACATCATAACCCACAAGTATAGGGGGTCGATTGTAGCCTTCGTCGATAAATACGAGTGTCGAACCTAATATGGAGCTAAAGGTAGAACAAATATTTCCTCAAATTCTATCGACCACCGATACAACTCTATGCATATTTGACGTTTGCTTTACCTAAAACGAAGTATGAAACTATTTTGCAAAAATAAAACTATGAGTACTTTGCGAGAATAAAACTACGAATAAATTGCAAGATAATAAAAGTGGATAGCTTTTGTCAGCAAGAAAGTTATTTGTCCCTAGGTAATCGATAACTAAACTGGCAATCATTCTTCAATTTTATAAGAGGGAGAGACATGAGTTAACATATTTTCTCTAGTTGGATCATATGCACTTATGATTAGAACTCTAGAAAGCATCCGCAACTACTAAAAATCATTAAGGTCGTGAAACCCAACCATAGCATTAAGTATCAAGTCCCCTTTACTCCCATACACAACAACCCACTTATACGTGTTTAGGCTGCTGTCACCCCCGCAATCGACAATAAGCGAATCATGAACATATTGCGACACCCTACAGCGAGGATCCCTCCGTTTGTGCGACATGGAGGGAACCATAGGATAGCACCATAAATAAAATATACACTCATACCAACCAAGATCACGATTAGCCCACAGGACAAAACGAGTCTATTCAAACATGATAGGATAACCATATATCATTGAGAAATAGTATATGGAGTTGAGCACCATGTTTAAGTAGAGATTACAACCGGGAGAAGGGGTGTTACATCGCCTCATAGAGGGGGAGAGAGTTGATGTTGACGGTAGAAAAATTGTTGATGTAGATCGCCGCCACAATCCTTGCCCCGGTGGCGCTCCGGCGCCACCAGGAGAGAGGGGGGGAGAGCCCCCCTCTTATTCTTCTACCTTGGCCTCCCCCCTAGATGGGAGGAGAGTTCCCCCTCTTGTCCCTGGCTTCCATGGCGGCGGAGGGGCGAGAGCCCCTCCGAGATTGGATCTTCCTTTCTGTTCTCTTCTGTTTCGCGTTCCTGTTTTCTGACCCTTCACTGTTTCTTAAATTCCTGGAGATCCGTAACTCCGATTGTGCTGAAATTTTTACACGTTTTTTTTGGTAAATTATCTTTCTTGCGCCCGAAGAAGGGCCCCAACCGACTTACGGGGAGGGCACAAGACACCTGGGCGCGCTGGGGGTACTAGGCGCGCCCTGGTGGTTTGTGAAGGCCGTGGGCCTTCGTTAGCGTTGATTCCACCTCCCAAAAATCATAAATATTTCCAAAATAATTCTTCATAAATTTTTATCGCGTTTGGACTTTGTTTGATATTGATATTCTGTGAAACAAAAAATATGCAACAAACAGGAACTGACACTGGGCACTTGATTAATAGGTTAGTCCAATAAATCATATAAAATATTGCCAAAAATATGTGGAGGTTGTATAATATTGGCAATGTAACAATCAAAAATTATAGATACGACGAAGACGTATCACTGCACAACCTAATCCAAAGAGCCCAACCTGAATAAGTTATGGGCATGTAGACCAGGGTCCTCCCCCTTAGGCTGGTCATAGTGGGAGTAATATATGTGCTAACATAACGCACCCCAAGATAAATATGCTTATCTGGCAAGGAGTAAACACGGAGAGAGGTGTTTGTGGTAACATAATATATTACCATAACATAACACACCTGACACAAAATGAGTCTACAACCCACTATAATGGTAGTAACATATGCATGTTACTAGTCTAAGTTACTTTCCACTATGACTAGCCTTAGCGCTTCAGGTGTCGGGAACACGGGGAGCTCCTATTTGATGTTTTTTTTTTCAAACTAGGATCGGACGACCATGAATGGCCCAATTGAGGGAGCTCCGTGGAGGCAAGTTGGCTAGCCTCATTATATGTATAAATTTATTGCGCCACGCGCAGAACGCAGATATACTGGGCGGGCCAATGTGGCACAGTAAATAGGGAAAAGTTCACCTTGGGACCATGAGGGATGGAACCCTGCAACTCCCGCTGCTGACTACTCGTCGCTAAACACACAACCTGACAAGTTTCACTACCAAAGTAGAAAACGTGGTTTACAGGAACTATGCATCAGCGACCAATTCACCGAAGCAAACCGATTTTAGCCTACCCTGTTTCTTTTTTTTTTCATTTATTTGTATTCCCTTTTCAAATTTATTTTCCTACTTCATAAGATGATTGCTCTTTTAAAACACTCTTCATTTTGTAAATGTTCGTTCCTAAAATAGATACTCACATTAAATAATGATGGAAATTTCAAAAGAATGTTCATATCTTTAAAAACTTGCTTAGTAAATCAAAGTGATAACAAAATTTGAAAATCGTGAAACCATTTGGAACACAAACAGTTCTTAAACTTTTTGAACATTTTTTTAAAAACAAGAACAAACCTAGGATTTCAAATATTTTCCAATAATATAAACTAAAATTTGGAACAATTGTTTTTCAAAAATATTTCCTCAAAGATTTGTTGTATTTATGAAAAAATGAAAGCAGGGACATTTTTGAACTTCCAAACACATTTTGAAACCGTAAACATTATTTGAAACTCCCTGAATAATTTTTGAATTCTTGATTCTTTTTGTAAATGGGGAACTCTTTAAAAAGGTTTGATTTTTTTGGAAAAGAGAACATGTCTTAAAAATGGAAATTTTTCTGAACCTTGAACAAAGTTTAAATAACGAGAACTTTTTTTTGGCAGGTGTAAACAATTTTTGAAAATGCGAACACTTTTTCAACTCGAACTTTTTTGAATTTAGAAAAACTAATTTTATTTTTGAATCTTTTTTGAAAGACGCAAACAAGTTTGAAACATGAATTTGTTTTTGATAAGTTGAAACGTAGATATGAAAAAAATTCAAAATTCAGAAGATTTACTAAAAAAGTTAACTAAATTGGAAAAACCTAAAGGAAAATTGATATTCAAAACAAAAGTTTTAAAATTTTAACTAGATTTTAAAATTCTGTAATTTTTTAGTTTGTGAAAATAGAAACAATAAAAAGAAAAGGAAAAATATATATAATCGAAAAAGGAAAAGAAGAAAAGAAAAAGAAACAGTAAAAGGAAAATAGGGTAGAAGAAAAAATAAAAATAAAAATAAAAAATAAAAAGAAGAAGAAGTCGTTCGAAAACCAGAAAAACTGGCTTAGAAGTCCTTCGAGAGCCGAGAACGCTGAACACTAGGTGCGAAACAACTATACTGGGCCTTCTTCGAACACTACGTGGAAAAGAGCGACAAGTGGCGCGCTGCATATGCGCCACTTGTCGCAACCTGGGAGTTTTTTTTTTCCGTAGATTCGTTTATTCAAAAGTTTTATCTCTTAAACCGTGTGTCCATATCTCGAACCGCTTCCGCCGTTGAATTCCTCGCGTCGAGATTTTCAAAACTAGATCCCATGTTGATAGGTTTTGACGAAACTTTTTTTCACGAAAAAAACCTGACGAAAAAACCAGATGAAAAAACCAAATCGGGAGCACGGGTTTTTCCCTTTCTGAAAGAAGCACGCCTGTGCCTCTGAAGAAATCACAACCGTGTCTCTCGCGGAAGCAAAACCGTGACTCTCGCGAAAGAAAGAAAAACAGAAAAGGCGTTTTTTTTCGTTTTTGAGGAGGCACGGCCGTGACTCTT